GGTTCCTTGCTATGGATTGGACACTTGAAATACATCTCTGCGTCCTATGCAGTCCTATAAGGAAGCCCCAGCCTAGGCCAATCCCCTGGACCTTCGCTAACCAAACAAAACCACGAGGCTATGTGGGGTATAAAGCAAACAGTCTTTGCAAGACAGTGAGGCGAAATGAGCGTTTTTTTTCCCCTACCTAGAGGCATTCCCAGCATCCTGATGCTGAAACAAAGCACTCGTATACTGGGGAAGCCGGTATCTAGCAGCAACTACAGTGGGTGAGAAGTTGGTAGAGGTGGTGGTGGTGGTGAGCCATGCAGGGCGGGAGACCTGAGGGAAAGTCTGTCAGGGACCCCAAGTTTTTCTCCATAACATAAAGAGATGGGCAGAAGGAAAATTCCCCCTTTTTGGCAGGACGCAGTTGTGTTTGTGTGTGACCCCTGGAACTGCTGTCGTCACCACCTCGCAACCACGAGGGGAGCTTACTGACACGATGGAGACAGTCTCACAGAGAGGTGGGAAGCACTTGGGTCCTACGTGATGCTGTTGAGCCAACCCGGAGCCATCTTGCTTTTGGATGACTTCATATGTGGGAGGACGTGCGTTACTGATGAAGCCGCCTAGATGGATCCCAGCACATTCATCATTCACTGGCAACTTATTAGACTCACCCAGGCCTGCCTATACTCGTAACTCCCTTCCTTCATCTAATAGGGTACTCATTCTAATCTTGTAAGGGTAAAAAAACGAAGTCTAACTGGGACTTTGTTGAAATGGTGCAGAAACTAGGAATAAACAAACGGTGAGTGAGGGCAGTGGTACCTTCTTCTTTTTGCTTCTTTTAATTTTTAAAAATGTTTTATTTATTTTTGAGAGAGAGAGAGAGAGAGACAGACAGAGCGTGAGCAAGGGAAGGGCAGAGAGAGAGAGGGAGACACAGAATCCAAAGCAGGCTCCAGGCTCTGAGCTGTCAGCACAGAGCCCGACTCAGGGCTTGAACTCGTGAACCACAAGATCATGAGCTGAGCTGAAGTCAGGCACTCAACCAACTGAATCACCCAGGCGTCCCTAGACATCAGATATTTCTGATGTCAGAATAATGTTTATTAAATAATGTTTATTTTTGTGTGCATGTGGGGGGGTGAGGGGCAGAGAGAGAGGGAGATAGAGGATCCAAAACAGGCTCTGCTCTATCAGCGCAGAGCTTGACGTGGGACTTGAACTCACAAATTGTGAGCGGAAACTGAGAGTCGGATACTTAACCGACTGGGCCACCCAGGAGCCCCAGTGGTAACTTCTTTGTGCACAGACATAGCAGCCTCTACTTTTGCACTTCCTTCCTGTCCTTAGCTGTATATCTAGAATATAGATAACAGAAACCACCTACCAGACAAATGAGCTATCTCTTCCTTATAGATTTCCCTCTTATGTCTCAGGGTTAAGGTCAACTGTTGAGTAAAGTTACCAGTTCATCCTAGAAACTGGTTAGTGTTTACCTACTTATAGGTAAACCATCCAAATGGGGCTCAGCTCCCGGACAAACAGTATCTGAAAATGATGATATAACTAGATACAGGTTATAGTAACGATGTAACTTATTTAGTACTCCTGCCCTATAAAAATGGCAGAGTAAATGTTGTTTTGTAGGAATGAATTGAAAACATCAGCAGAATTACTACTTTGGCCTTTTACATGCTTTGAGGGTGATCATTTTTTTTTCTTTGCCTATACTTAAAGGAACTTGTGTCTTCATCATGTTTTAAGTTGTATTATCCTGTTCTTGCACATTAGCCAATAACATTAAAAAAAAAAAAAACTCAAAAAAAAAGGAAGGACAATCGAATTTATAATAAATCCCAAAAGCTATGTTGCTGGTGAAGAACAGATATTTAAGCCCCAAAACTAGTAATACTCACAAACTCCAGTTGCTATTATATAGACCTCTGATTTTTTAAAATAACAATACAGTAAACAATAATAAGACACTAAAAAATATTTTTATACGCCAGAAAATAGGAGAAAGGAGTGTCGTATGGTACTTGACATTTTTTCTATATAAAAATTAAAAAAAAATTTTTTTTAATGTTTACTTATTTTTGAGACAGAGAGAGACAGAGCATGAACAGGGGAGGGTCAGAGAGAGGGAGACACAGAATCTGAAACAGGCTCCAGGCTCTGAGGTGTCAGCACAGAGCCCGACGCGGGGCTCGAACTCATGGACCGCGAGATCATGACCTGAGCTGAAGTCGGATGCTTAACCGACTGAGCCACCCAGGCGCCCCTATATAAAATTTTTCAAACAGAAAAGTTAACAAGAATAGTATAATGAACACTCATGTACCTTTCACCAAGGCTCAACTTGTTAATATTGTGCTATTTTGGTTTAATCTATATAGGTATGCATTTTTTTCCCCAAAATCATTTTAAAGTAAATTACAGACATCTTGATCAGTCATATTATATTTAGCCTTGATTTTCAATATCTGCTTTTCAAGTATTTTTTCATTCATGTTTTATAAAATCCTTTAAAAAAGATAAAAAAAAAATAATTATTATGTTTATCCTGTTAAACAGCAAGACTTACAGGGGTGCCTGGGTGGCTCTGTCACTTAAGTGTCTGACTTCTGCTCAGGTCATGATCTTGTGGTTTGCAAGCCTGAGCCTTGCTTTGGGCTCTCTGCTGTCAGCGTGGAGCCTGCTTTGGATCCTCTGTCCCCCTCTCTCTCTGCCCCTCCCCTCTTGCTCGCTCTCTCTCTCAAAAATAAATAAACATTTAAAATAATGGGGCACCTGGGTGGCTTGGTCGGTTAAGTGTCCGACTTTGGCTCAGGTCATGATCTCGCGGTCCATGAGTTTGAGCCTCGTGTCGTGCTCTGTGCTGACCGCTCAGAGCCTGGAGCCTGTTTCCGATTCTGTGTCTCCCTCTCTCTCTGCCCCTCCCCTGTTCATGCTCTGTCTCTCTCTGTCTCAAAAATAAATAAATGTTAAAAAAAAAATGAAAAAAAAGCCAAGATTTACAGTGTAAGAGAAAAGAGATTTGATGTATTAATCAAAGGCATTAAACAAATCCCCTGAAATATTAACTCTACATTGCAGTCATTAGTATTCCTGGTTTCTTTTTCCTTAAACAAATATATATATACTAGCTCTGTCCACTATGAAGTTCAAGTAACCACAGGAAATAACACCATAGAAATAAACACTCAAGTAACTCTGGCTGTGGTCTCTAAACGCCACACCCTCCTAAGAGACACCAAAACTCCTTGGAGGGATGGCTGATGCCAGGACTGAGGCGGCAAAGAACACAAGAAGGTGCTGGGAAATCTGGTTGTCCTTGATAGCAAGCAAATTCTACAAGACTAAAGACGTCACACCCAAAGGACACAGGGGCTAACATGAAGAGTCTCAACAGTCACAGATGAGACAACCGGAGGATCAAAGAACATGACTGAAACTGAAACCCTGAATACCTAAAAACACATAGGTACTCAATGAAATGAAAAAGTGCCCTCCCCCATCCAAGCAACAAACAACAGATTACCACTGGAAGTACCTAGGGCATCAACTCCTTATTCTGAAAATGGCAATTATCTGAAAATGGCAATTGAAGAATTAAGCATTTATCCTGCTGTCTTTTCGGATCAAATTATATATTGGGATAATTAAATAAATAGCCCCAGTTGATAAAGTTTTGCTTTGCAGCTAATATACTTAGAATGCAGGAGATATTTAGAAACTCAGCATTCGGCTATTTCTAGTTAAACAGTGATTCAGGCAATCATGAAAACATTACATGAAAGGTGGGTGTGGGTCTTTAAAATGAAAGGAACAGCTGTTGCCATGTGAATTCACTGATCCATCGTGGAGTCACCGTGAGACAATCAGATGGCATGTGTCCCCTGAAATGATGCTATATAAAGTGCACGGTATAGTTTATGCAGTATTCTCACCCCTGAAAGTTACAGTTAAGTTCTAGTTTGCAAGAAATACGGATGACAGAACAACTTAATACCATGAGGAGGCAGGCAGACAGATCCAGAATGTGTGACGTCCTGTATGACAACTAAGTTTTCTCAACAATCAAAGACAAGGTGGGGAAGGGAGGAAGGGACAATGAAACAATATCAACCAACTATGCGTGTGGACTCGTTCACATCCTGACTTGAAAAAATCAACTGTAAAAAGACGGTGAGCTACTTGGACAAACATCTATGGATTAGGTAGGTGTTGGGGGGGACACCAGGGAATTGTTGCTATTAATTTTGTTAGAGGTGATGATGATGGCATTGTGACCATAGGAAAAAAAAAATGTGTATCTTCTTTTTTTTTTTTTTTGCTTTTTTTTTCAACATTTATTTATTTTTTGGGACAGAGAGAGACAGAGCATGAACGGGGGAGGGGCAGAGAGAGAGGGAGACACAGAATCAGAAACAGGCTCCAGGCTCTTAGCCATCAGCCCAGAGCCCGACGCGGGGCTCGAACTCCCGGACCGCGAGATCGTGACCTGGCTGAAGTCGGACGCTTAACCGACTGCGCCACCCAGGCGCCCCATAAAAAAAATGTCTATCTTCTTAAGAGAGGTGTATCAAAGTACGTGGGCGTGAAATGACCTGAGGCCTAGATTTTCTTAAAAAATGCTTCATACACATACAAGTTGTTAAGTGGGGATAGTGAAGCAAGTATAATAAAAAAGGCCTGATAATTAACTGGGCTTAGGAGTAGGCATATGGGGGTTCATGGCACTGTTCTTCATACTTCTGCGTAGTTTTGAAAATTTCATAACATTTTTTTTTAAAGATTAAAGTAGCTATCTTCAGAGACAGAATCTGAACAGACGTTGAAAACATTTATTTGCGTTACTGTCACTTAAAAACAAATGTGAAACTATTTTAAGTAGACTTCTCAAATAAGATGTTCTTACACACCCACATTCGTTTTTTTGTGTCTTTTGAGCATACCACTGCGTATTTATTGTCAGCGAATTTCTACATTTTTGAAAGATACATTACCTGTTGTCAATAATCATTATACTGGAGGGTGGAATCCCCAAAACATCACAGCTCTGCAAAAGTTCTTTCTTACGAATCTCCCCTTGATTGTAGTAATTTCCTGGAGATAACAAATATACAGTGGTAGATTTAACACTGGAAATGTATCAGTTTACTCATTCTTACCTTGTTCTTTAAGGGACTTAAGCTGCCTGAAAAATGTGTGGTTAGGATAAAAAGTTGAAGAAAATACACTAGGTTCACTCCAGTGAGACCACCGGCAGCCCAGTCTTTAGAAGTACCATTTGATCCTTCCCCATCTCTGTTTCTATCTGTCTGTCCATCTGTCTATCTCTCTGCATTTCAGTTGCATGCTACAGGAAGTATGGCACATCGCCAAGACCACTGGCTTTGGAGTTAAGCAGATTTAAAATGAATTCTTCTATAACTACTCAGAATAAGTTAGGTACCTGGGAACGGTATTAGTTTGGCCCTTTTAAATTGATAGTACTCCAGTATCTGTTAAACATTTATTTAAAGAAGAGGCTCTTACTCCTAAGTATTACAGGAAAATGTGCCCCTAGGGATCTTGACCACATCAGTGCCCCGAATAGCTTATGTAACCTTTATTTTCCCAACACGTGTAGTCTATTTCCTAAGAATGGTTCTGGTAAGTACAGCTTCCCTGTATCCTTACAAATCATATACAGGGAAGTTTTGGTACCACTTAAACTGCATTTACGAGCAGTTGTCTAGCTAACGCACCCCTTAATTCAACTCTCCAGCAGATAATTGCATGTGTAATATGTGCCAGTTACCTAACTTTCCTGAGCCACAGTTTCCCCATCTGTAAAGTGGGGATGATGGTCATCTCTGGAGGCTTTCCTGAGGAGTACATGAGACCACACACATCCATCCAGTTCAGTACTCTGTTTGCTCTTTCCTCCACCTCTTTATCTTTACCCTCCCCCTCCTCCGCTTCCTTTCTTCCTGAATTACAATCATTTTCATTGTCCGACCAAATGGCATTCCCTCTGGGAAGGCTTTCGTTCTTCCCCTGGCAAGGAATCATTTCCAGTGTTCTCATAAATATGAACTTTTCTCCATGATTGGATTATGAATTGCTAAATGTCATTGACCTTAAAAGTCAAAGTCTCATTCAACTTTGTGTCACCCTGGTGTCCTGCACCCTGCAGGCACTCATGAAGCACTGAACAGAGAGAGGCTTCGTGTGCTGGCCACATAATGCAGAGAAAAACTCCCACATGAGACCTTTCCACTTTGGCAGGGCGTTATTCCAGTGCTAGTTTTGAACTGTTTGAACCCAGGAAGGAGATAGTCATTACATTGTAGCCAACAAAGGGACTAACCCTAAAAAGACTCCAGATAGTTTTGTGTTGTCCTCATCACAACTTTTTCTTTTTACTTTTTAAAAAAAAAAAGATAGAAGCTATAGTCAACCGGGTGGTCGCTCTGTTTTAGGCTCCTCTCCAGTCTATCTACATACCCTCAACCATTTCATCTCCAAGTTCCTTGATCTTTGGTGATAAGGAGTCTAATGTACTCTAGTGACGTGATTCCTAAGTCCAGAGTCTGCATATCAGGCTCTCAGGATTGTGAGAAACTGCTTGGGATGGAGGCTAAGGAGTTTATTGCTTTGTGTTTGAATTAAGGAACTTAAAATAGGTTAGGGAGTTGAAGTCAGAGGTCATTTTAAATATTTTCCCCAAGTTTGGTGAACATGTAGGCACCTCAACAGAATAAGTGTCTGAGATCTGGCAGCCGCTCTTAAGGACACACTCTGGAAGTGTGTTGAAGGGTGCCTGGGGGCCACAGTCGGTTAAGCATCTGACTTCGGCTCAGGTCATGATCTCACAGTGCGTGGGTTCCAGCCAGGTCGTGATCTAGTAATTTGTGAATTCGAGCCCTGCGTTGGGCTCTGTGCTGACAGCCCGGGGCCTGGAGCCTGCTTGGGATTCTGTGTCTCCTTCTCTCTCTGCCCCTCCCCCGCCTCCCCCACCTCTCAAAAATAACTAAACATTAACAACAACAACAGCAGCAGCAACAGCAACAACAACAACAGCGAACTGTGTCCAAGTAGGGTAGGTGCACACTGGGATGCACAAGACTGTCTATTGGGGAGAGGAAAAGCTTTGCAACTTTTCCTCTTAATTTGTTTACCTTGTCCTTCATAAATATTAACTTTCGTTAATGTTTCATAATGTACACATTAATTCAGTGGTCCATGTACTTAATATAATTATAAATAAATATACATATAATGAGAGTATTTGCTCAAAAGTTTTTATCAGTAGGAAAATGTGACCCAAAAAGGAGATCATTGGAGATCATTATTGTAGAAAACAGAAAATCGGATTAATGTAGATTTGTTTACATAGAACTACACTGTGTGTGTGTGTGTGTGTGTGTATGTGTGTGTGTGTGTGTGTGTGTGTGTGTGTGTGTGTGATAAGTTTATGGATAACTGTGCTTAGTGAAGTCTTCCATCTTGTGATAACTAGTATTTCTCAATAATTACTAGTAATCATAATGACATTTAATGGAAATTAAAGCCATTTTGTAAAGACCCACACTTATACACCACAGTGTATAATGGTAAACATTTTTTTACTTTAAAATTAAAATTTATTCTAAGTAGGTAAAATACTTACACCATTAAAAATCAAAAGGAACAACATCATAAAAAGTCCCTCTTTCACTCCTTTAGTTACCCTACCTTGTAAATTTTAAGTTGTTAAAATGAGAAATGGATTGAGAATCGAAACATCATGGGCCCAATACTTTCTACTAACTTTATGAATACTGAGGAAATTCCTTAAGTTCCTGGGTTTCAAGAACACTAGCAAGGTTTTTTTCTTGAATACGACCAAGTTAATTTTAAAATAAATGTATTTGAAAGAAAAAAAGGTCAACATTTGCTCAACTGTAAAATGAAGGATTTTAGGTTCTTTCTGGCCAGTTAAGGTCTACCCAGGAAAACAGAAACCAAGCCAAATATTTACATCAGTAAGAATTTAATGAAAATAACTTAATACATAACTGGTGGAAGATCTGAGGACCAATCAGGGACCAGTGAAGTGGCCCAGAGATTAGTGACAGTAAGAAGAAACTACTAACACTAGCAACACTAGGTTGGACAGATAAAAGGAGGGGGCAGTGTTCTTAGAACCCAAAGGCCTAGGTTCCCCAAAGGAAGTTGAAACCAAAAGAGCTAGACTCTCTTCCGTTAGAATGTGTCCATAGAATCAAGCTGGAGAAATCACGTTTTAAAAACGATACTAGAATTGGGGTGCTTTGTGGCTCAAGTCTGTTAAGCGTCTGACTCTTGATCTCGGCTAAGTTTATATCTCAAGGTTCATGAGTTCGAACCCTACCTGGGGCTCTGCGGTGGCAGCATAGAACCTGCTTGGGAGGCTGTCTCCCCATCTCTCTGCCCCTCCCCCGGGCGCTCTTTCTCTCTCTCTCTCTCAAAGATGAATAAACATTAAAAAAAGTAAATAAACTTTAAAAAAATGGTCAAATTACTTGAACAGAAAACGGTTTTCCAAAGATAGATGGCCAATAAGCACATGAAAAGATGCTCAATATCATTAGTCGTAAGAGAAATTAAGGCAAAACCACAATGAGGTATCATTTCATACCCACTAGGACGGCTATGGCAAAAACAAACTCAGCTTGTTTAATGTTGCTTTTTAACTATAAATAATTCTTCAACATTTTCCTTATTGAGATATATTTAGATCCAACCTCCAAAGTGTTAGTCTCATTTAACATTTTTCTTTCTGACCTTACACATTTGAGATTTCTTTAAAAAAATTTTTTTTTTATGATTATTTGTTTTTGAGAGAGAGAGAGCGAGCAAGCAGGGAAGGGACAGAGAGAGAAGGAGACACAGATCTGAAGCAGGCTCCAGGCTCCGAGCTCTCAGCACAAGAGCCGGATGCAGGGCTCGAACTTGTGAAATGTGAGATCGTGACCTGAGCTGACGTCTGACGCAGTCAGTTAAGCATCTGACTCTTGGTTTCAGCTTGGGTCATGACCTCATGGTTTGTTGAGTTTGAGTCCCCCAAAAAACAAACACAAAACTTACAGATGTAGATGAGGATGTGGAGAAAACACACCCTTGTGCATTGCTGGTGGGAACATAAAATGATACATCTGCCATGGAAAACAGGATGGCGATTCCTCAAAAATTTAAACATAGAATTAACATGTAACTCTGCAATTCTACTCCTAGGTATATTCTAAAACAACAACAACAACTGAAAACAGGGACTCAAACAGATAACTTACATACCTGTTCTCACAGCAGCATTATTCACAATAGCCAATTTTCCACAATAAAAAATATTTAAAAATTAGATTTGCAATGGGGCGCCTGGGTGGGTCAGTTGGTTAAGCATCCAACTTTGGGCTCAGGTCATGATATCACAGTTTGTGAGTTTGAACACTGCATTGGGCTCTCTGCTGTCAGCACAGAGCCTGCTTCGGATGCTCTGTCCCCTTTCTCTCTGACCCTCCCCTGCTCGTTCTTTCCCTCAAAATAAACAAATAAACTTAAAAAAAATTAGATTTGCATTGAATAAAAAAATATCTTTTAGTTACTGTTATCACTGTAAAACAGAAATTATGTCTTTAAAACTGGTAGAGGGGTGCCTGGCTGGCTCAGTCAGTGGAACACGTGACTCTTGATCTTGGGGTTATGAGCCCCACGTTGGCTGTAGAGGTTACTTAAAAATAAAATCTTAAAAAAAATAAAACAAAACTGTAGAACAAGGTTGTTGGTTTAAAAAAAATTTTTTTTAATGTTTATTTATTTTTTGAGACAGAGAGAGACAGCATGAATGGGGGAGGGGCAGAGAGAGAGGAAGACAAAAAAATAAAACTGTAGAACAAGGTTTTTTTTTTTAATTTTTTTTAATGCTTATTTATTTTTTGAGACAGAGAGAGACAGAACATGAATGGGGGAGGGGCAGAGAGAGAGGGAGACACAGAATCGGAAGGAAGCTCCAGGCTCTGAGCCATCAGGCCAGAGCCTGACACCGGGGCTCGAACTCACGAACCGTGAGATCGTGACCTGAGCTGAAGTCGGACGCTCAA